ATGAGTTGCGCAACAGGTTGCTTCCCTCCCTTTGGTGTTTTTGGTGTTTTTGGTTTTGGGTTGGTTGGTGTTTGGGTGTTTTGTTCTTCTGTTTGGTTTGCAACCTGTATAGTAACTCCTCCTTAACTCGACCAAGGTGACTTGTGCAGAACCTGCACACATAGCGCCTCGACTCGTGCAAAAAAAGAGGTTGAGAATGGTGTTCCGACCTTTCTTGGTTGTCGGAATTGGTACTGCTCATCCATGCCATGCAACACTGTGTTCTGAGCGATGAAGCCTCATTTGAAGTAAGGAACTTCGGCTGCAAAGCTTGAAAACTCATTGCACATTATCGCAGGAAGGGCCCAACAGATTTCGGGAGCGGTATTCAAATCCCACAGCCTCATTGAAAAGAAAAGGCTCATCTGATGGTGAAGTACTGAGTGCAAAGGCTGCTGAATTCATTGCCCCTTTGTTTCACCGAGTTTCACTTTTGTCTACTGGTTTACGCAGCCAACTTGAGGTACGAACCTTGCTCCCTTTGGGTGTTTTGGGTTTGTTGGTTTGGGTTTTGTTGTTCTGGTTTCGGTTTGCCGCTTGGTTCGTATCTCTCTCTTTTACTAGCCTAAGGTGACTTGTGCATCCTCTGCACACACAGCGCCTCGACCCGTGCAAAAAAAATTGCAGCAAGTGCCGCGTGCCATGGCGCAAAGTTCAGTCGACATGCCCAGTGGCCAAACCATTTGTCCTTTTGCTGACTCGCCACACATTACACAAGAAGGATTTACCCTCCATGGCTCCAACCCAGAGAGCCGAGCAAGGGTCTATCGCCTTCTTTTACAAAGAGAAACTGTGAGCAACGTGGCGCATGGTGTCATGAACCAATTGACCTGGGCATATGACTCTGGGAACCCTATACAAGTCTTCAACTTCAACTCCTTAGGCCACCTTGAGCACCGCCCCTTTCTACCCCCTGCCAAGCGCAAGGCCGCAATGTGGCTCACAGCAGCCTGACTCACAACTTGTGCATCGACCGCCACCGGCATTCCAGGTCTTCCACCCGCCCCCAGCAGGGCAACCAGGCGTTTACGCTTCTCAGGCTTCACTGGCGAATCAAAGCGTTCAGGAGCAAATGGCAGTCTCGCCTAGTGAGGAGTTACATCAGCGCCAGTTGCCCTTTGTAAGCCTGGCAAGGGATGCGTTGAGGCGGGTCTCCTTTATAAAGGAAGCAGCATGGCAAATATTTGATCTCCTGCAAACCCATCCTCCCACATATGATGAAGCTGCCCATCAAAAAAGGGCTCGAGCCTGTCATGCTGTTTATCAAGAAATGGTAGAACTCGAGGAGGCTTTCGAGCGAGCTCTCTAACAGAGACAACCTTCCTCCAATTCGGATGTCGGGAACCTACTGACAGTGTGCACGAAGAGATAAGACGTGGACAGAAAGATCTCTTCGATCATAGATCCATATGTCACACGTACGGTCGTCAACAATGCTCCAGTGTAATCAATTGGGCCTTTCAACCAGAGTTCTAAAGGACGCTGTTCTGCTATCATGTTTCCTTAGAGGCTTTTGAGAGCTCTGCGTTTCGGCAAGGAAGCTGGACGCTTCCGTGTGAGAACGCCTCAACCACCATGCAAGCTACCAGGAAGCAAACCAACACATTAAAAAACTACAGGCAAGTAAGGTGGGGCGCAGCGTAGCGACTTGGCTTCCCCAGCAAGTACGGGTGGGAAGAAAACCGACATTGTCCCAGAGTCACGCTTCCTTAAAAACATCGGATAGAGTCGAAACAAATTGGACAACTTTGACGTGAAGGGCTTTGAGCGAACTGGCGGCGAAATATGGTCTCAAGGGCCTTGACGTGAGGAATCCAAAGGCGAAGGGCTTTGAGCCCCCTGACGAATGAACGAATGAAAGGCCCCAAGGGCCTTGCCGTGAGGGATCTTGACGTGAAGGGCTTTGAGCGCACTGGTGACGGAGGTCGACTTTGCCAGAAAGCGAAAATCTAAAGCGCGAGTCCATCATCTGGTTCTGAGAATCTGGAGCAATGTTCTTCTTGCAGCAAGCATCTGTGCTGATGCAAAACCAACTTTTCAGCCGACGAAACAAATATCGGCGCAGCAGAACTATTCAGGACGTCGCTAGATGCTTGTGTTCTCGGCAATGGAATCAAAAAAGGGTGACCCCTCAAACCAAATCAATTGCGTGGAGGATTTTTGCTTCGTGGCTGAGAGCCATGCTGGAGCCAGAAGTGGGAGGGTGATCCTCTAGCTTGGTCGAGAGCTCCACCGATTTGCACCACGATCCAAAAAGAACTTTGGCAGTCTTGTTTGTTGAAAGCATGTTCATCATGTTTGCGCCCTTGGATTGTGACCTTGGCTTGAGGCATGACCTTGGATTGTGGAATGAACATGATATGTCAGGTTGGAACCATGAGGATACCCCCATAATGGTCGACCAGGACGTCGATCTGAAGGTGCCTCCGAAGGGACGGCAAGGTGCCACAGTTTGCTTTCGACTGCAAAACTTTGTGCGGGCAAATAAAAAAGACGTGGCAGGTGAGCTTTCACATTGATCATATTGCTGCTGCCTTTGCATTGTCATGTGGTAAGAATTGTTTGGCCGGAAAGCACTTGAGATGGTTTCAGTCTGTGCGTCGGGCCATTCAGTGGATGAGGTGGTGTTGTTGATGGACTTCGCGTTTTTAGTTTTGAAACAACTCCGGTTTAGGTGGGGTGACTGATCTTTTCACAGAAGAATTCTTGGGCAAGGCTGGTTTGGCAAAATTTTTGGAGGTTTTCTGCTCATGTTCTTTTTCTTTTGGGGAACACCGCTGTTCATTTTGAAGGTTATGGTGGCTCCATGAACTTCAAACATTTTGTTTGCGTCGCCTGCGACCTGTTGATAGCGGAAGGGAAACACACCGTCCAGGTGAATAGTGTGCTTTTCCAGTGTAGTAAGGGTTGCACGGTTCTCTTTGTTGCTTTAATTCTCCAAAACCACTCCCACGGATAAGGACAAATGAAATGAACTTGCATGAAAAATGGAATCGTCAGACTATTTTAACAAAAAATATTTTTGGACCCTTGATATAGTTTCATGAGGACATGCCGTGCTTTTGGTTCACAACCGACCCGATTCCGAGCCTGCAGTCAGCAGACTGGCAGAATCAAGCGTTGAAGAAACCGCACTGGAGTTTCAAGTGCAGGATGACTTTATGTGTTCGGAACATTGAATCACATATTTTAACAGTCAAGCCTGACTTGCTCATTCACTACACGTTGCCAACCTTTTCCAAGTGACACGTAGCAAACAGAATCTTTCAAATTGTTTGGGAGTGTTTCGCGTTTAGTTTTGGTGGAGGATCACCCCACAGTTTAACGCCACAGCCGCAAGCTGTCGCCATGAATCCTATCCATCTCTTGCTGCAACAGCAGTTGGGTGTTTTGGCAAAAGCTGAATCAGCTGCTGACCCCATCCGCAAAGTTGTGTTTTTTCGGCCATCGCTACTAGGTTGGAGGCCATTGCTCATTGCTAGTAGGTTGGGGCTTTGCATGTTTGTAGATGATCGTACAGCAACATGCGCATCATGGAAACCAAAATTGGTTTGAGGGTATTGGACTTGAGCGCAGTCCAAGCATGTTTCGCTGATTTTTTGTTGACACAGTTTTTCTAGAAGTGCTTGACCTCAGAGCCAGACGTCTGAAAGTTACGTTCAAGTTTGTTGGTGACGGAGTGAATGAGGGGCCAAGTGGCCAAGTACTGCAACAATGTTGTTGATCAATTCCACAGTTTTGACCTGGCAAGAGCTTGCATGGCATTGGTGTCAGTCAATTACCTTTACAGTCGGTTTATTAAGACATTTAGGTTTTGAGGTTCTTAACAGATTCTCGTGAACACACTGTCATGGATTGAATGATCCGCTCATGGATTTGTCGCAATTTCTGGAGGGAGTTCACACTTTCTTCTACATGAGCAGTGTTGAGAACCGGTGGCACAGCATGAGTTGTAAGCGTTTGTATGCGTTTGTCATATTGATGAGGAACTGAACATGTGGCCTTGAGAATGAGAGTGGGGTTCCTTCCCAAGAATGAGAGGTTGGATCAATGGTTGAGGGATGCTTGAATCTCCTGCGCTGTGGACTTTTCGAGCAGAGGCAAAACCAAAGTTGTTCACCTATGGCCGTGCGCCACGGGTGTCTAGTTTTGATCCGCACTTGTGAGGTGGGCTTCCGGCAGCGGTGCCTGATGGCATGTGACCCAGATGCATCCGGTCTTGGAGGTGTTGGCGATAGTGTTGCCAAGGGGATCTGACACAAAGTCTATTCGATCTTTGAATGAGTTGGCGTGAGATATTCAGCGTTGGGGTGGTTTCAAGAGATTCATCTCCCCGAAATTTTTGTGGATCAAAAGGTGAAGATCTCCCCACAAAAGAAGCACGTCATAAATCCGTACTGTGGTGGACGGTTTGATGTTGGCAACCTTGGAGCAGTGGACTTGGCTTTGCAATGTCTACTCATTTCCGTTCCTGTAGAGGGTGTGGACACAGGCCAAGGTGGACAGGCTCTGGAAAGAGGCCCGAGGATGTAGATTCAACCAACTGGGAGCTGAATTGAAGTCCAAGTTCATGTTTTTTTTGTAAAAAACTGCATTTTGAAAGGTTCTTGTTCTTCCCACATCTTTCCTTCCAGGACCCCAAGAGATGTTGTGCATTGAGGCGCCCTGGTGTGTCCCAGTCCCGGCCCTCTAAGAACCACTCTGTGGTATTGTTCCAGTGTGTTGTGACAAGCCAGGAGCGGTAGAGTTTTGACCTGAAACATGCCATAGCCAAGCTGTGTTCTCTTTTACAAGGTGCGCCAAAGTTTGTTCTGCATTGATGTACAATTGACAGAGTTGTAAGCTTCGCAGGTCTGATCCTTTTCAAGCAATTATGATTATCACAGGGTCCAGGGTCCGGAAATGCACATCATCGCACGACTCTGCGTGGACTGCCTGGGCGTCGGAATCTCAGGAATACCATGTTTTTCAATCAATATATGGCGCAGATGCAGGCGACTTGACGTTTCAGCAACATTTTTAGTATGCTGTTTGCAGTGACGCGGCCTCCAGCGGTGAACTTGGACATCCCCAAGTCTCGACCCACACTCTTTAAATCCCATGGGCTGCCAAACGGGCCACTTCTCTGTAAGCCTTGAATCGCATGTGAATCAGGATTTTTGAATCGCATGGCGAGTTTTCATGACATGTTGCCAATGAAGTGAACAGCGCACGGCCACCGGAAGTTCCTCTGATATCTTCTTTCCCAAGCACTTAGTGAGGAGGGATTTGTTCACTCGCACCCTGCGGGCCCCCCCTGCGGGCCCTGCGGGCCCTGCGTGCCTTAGGCCTACCAGCTGCAGCTGCATGCGCAGCTCTTGGCGCCAAAGCAGCCGGCGCCTGTGCCGCTGCTGGCGGCGCCTGCGCAGGCGGCGTTGCCTGCGCCTGAGCCGATGAATCCAGAGCCGCCGGAGCCGGCCGGCGAAGCCGACAGGAGCTCAACGGATGGAATCGAAGAGAGAAACCCAGACGAGACCTACGACCCAAGGGAATCAGTGAATGCATGGCCCAGCGCCTTTTCCTTCTCAACCGAATGATTAGAGCCGGGGCGCACGCGAATCGATGGTTTATATAGTCCTAGCCTGGTGTTTGGCTGAAACGTGAACCGATGACCCCGCCCGGCCAGACCAACGGCTGCGGATGAGATGATGGCGAGGCCTGGTTGACGGGTGATGTGGGGGTGAGGGATGCCGAAAAGAAGTTAAAGAAGTACAGGGTCAAAAAATGTTCGGTTCTCTAGAGCTGAACCTGGAGGCCATGGCTAGTAGATTGGAGGCCATCGCTATTAGGTTCCTTTTGCTACAGGATTTTCCAGAGTTGAATCGAGGGTTTCGGAAGTTGCTACAATCATGCAACTCTGTAGCCCTCTGGTTCTCCACATAAGCCGTCAAAGCACAGAAACAGATGTCTCCAGATTCACTGCAGGAAGAATACCGGTGGCGCTTTTGCAGGTGTATGGCCTTCGCACAGCAGAAGGAGAAAGAAAGAGGTGACAGAAAGACATCTCAGGCTGATGCGAGTTGTGCGGCGCAAGGCACCTCTTGCCATCCTCAAAACCCTTCAAGCTTATGGCAAATCTAGCTCGGTAAACCATTGTGAACAATGGCCCTTTTCTGGTCTATCGACCTTAGTTGGTTTCTTGGGTCAACTTGGGTCCTATCTTTTAGTATTTCTGAAGGGGTCTCTCTGATTTTCAGCGATTTCAGCGAGACACGTCATGGATGTAGATACTAATCCAATCTCTTGAAGTGCATAGAGTTTGCATAGAGGGTGGGTGAGTGGACAGGTGTTGTCAGCGATGGCACTAAAGTCTGGAGACGCTTCTGTATCATCAGATTCAACCAAATAACCCATGAAGAACAAAGCAGAAAAGGGTAGTGTAGGGCCTTTCGGCATTCTTGTGTTTTGTCATATTAGGATGGAGGCCATCGCTAGTAGGTTGGCTTCAGGTAAGGTAAGGTAAAGTAAGAGAAAGCTGGTTTCGATTGAGCGAAAGCTCTTTGCGGCCTTGGTCAAGGTGGAGTCAAGCCCACCACCGCTACCTCCGGAGGAACCACCAGCTCTACCTCAGGAGAAAGGGCGTTATACAATGGAATCTACAAAGCGTTGCTCCATTTGCTTGTGTGTCCACTCAATCTTCCTCCCTCCTTCCCTTCCTCCCTCCTGGCTGTGTCCCTCCCTCCCTCGATGTTTTTGGTTATTAAATTCTGCACGGAAGCTGCCAGACCTTAGTTCTTAGTTTTGACGCTTTGGGATTTCTTCACAGCTGGAGCAGTCTAGGTGACAGTTGGGAGCTTTGAACTTGAAACTGGAGGCTCATGACCAGATAATACCATCAAGTCCTCAAGTATATTTGCAAGGAAGTAGTTCGACGATTTCCGCTCGAAAGAAGGCTCGGAACCAAGCTGCAAGCGTCCGAGGCTAAAGAAAGTTCCAGAAATTATGTTTTGCCCTATCTCCGAAAAGCACAGGTCCCATCTCTGTCTGTAGGCCAAAACGCAACCCATGCCTTTGTCATTGCTTGATAGGACAGCCTTCGAGGCCCGGACAAAGATGCCGAGAAACAGCCCGAGCCAGAGAGGGCGCAGCAGGCGGAGAGAAGAAAAAGGGGAGGGGGTAGGCTGCTCGTAGGAGGTAGTAGGCTTAAGTCTATAAGTTTTTTAAGTATAGCCATGTAAGCAAAGGAGGTAAGCTACTAGCAATAGGAAGCTAGTGCGTATGGACGCAGGAAAGCCCAGATATTTTGGGGAAACTAAACTTTTGCCTTTTTGAAGTGCGATGTCTAGCTTCACACTTCTAAGGGGCACCGTTGAGTAAGTAGCTGTTGAGTAAGTAGCTTACTACCATAACCACTTACTCATTAGGTGCTTGTGGTGACGCACTCTTTGCTCCCTCCGCCTGAGGGCGGAGCTTTTCATTTGCTTCGAAGCTCCGCAATCGAACAGGATCACCCAGACAGGATATTTTATCTTTGGAACACTTCATTGATTTGATATTCTAAACCGGTTTGGTCTGTGTGATGTGATGGATCATTGAGTCACAGATGAACGACTCTTCCCCATATTCATTTGTAGTAGGCAGTCGGGTCGCGTGGGTAGTGTTAGCCAACCGGCTAACCAGTCTCATAAGCAAGTCGAGTCCGTATGACGAAGGCATGAAGGTTCTACATATGGTTTCCTGACAAAGGATCGTGTTACGAAGCAACACGGAGGCATCAAGGACATCACAAAAAATCAAAGCAGAACCATGATCATGGGGTATATGACCTCCTTGTTGTATATGTTTTGAAAGAAGGGTCAGGTAAGAATGTTGTGAACCAAGATGTCTTTTGCCATGCAGGCATGTTTTTTTTGGCCTTTGAATGCACTCTTCCTTGCAGGCCATTCTTGGCAGTGGCTTCCAATTTTCCTGGCTGAGGGGAGGTCACGATCAGGCACATTCGGTTGCCAAGGGAGCGGAATCTATTTGGGCCAATTTGTCAGTAGATCCAATAGTTGTTTATATAATTGGATGTTTTTTTCAACAAGTTGTCAACCCATGTAATGTTCCTTGCCACCACAGTGTTTGCCTCAGAATCTGAGTCTAGATCTACTGTTCTCATGCCAGACAGGATCGCCCTGCAGCCGCTTCCAACTGCCACGCAGCCGCTGCAAATGCTGCAAAGATTGAAACTGTGCACCAGGCCAGCTCTTGTTGCAATTGGAGCACGCAGTTAGTATTACTGTAGATAAATTCATTTGACATCCACGTGAAATGAACTTCCGCTGGCAGGACAGTCCTCTTGGCAAAGCCTGCCAGAGCGTTTTGATAGCTGACACACGGGAACTTTCATGGATGCGTGCAAGCACCGATCAGGCTCATCGATCAGCACCGATCAAGTTTCTTAAGGCTAATAGGCAGATGTGGATTGTAGCTGTGCCATGCTTTGCTCTATACCTGAGTATCTTCTTGTTACTAGTAACTAGTAGTAAGAATGCTCCTAGTAGCGATGCCAGGAGCCCCTAGTAGCGTCCTTGCTCCTAGTAGTAAGGCCAGGAGCCCCTAGTAGCTTCTTGTTACTAGTAAGAATGCCTTAGGTGTCCTTTTGGCTTTGCTGCTGCTGCTCTGCCTTGCTCCTTTCGTTGTTTGCAGAGAGATTCTTGAAGTTTGACCAAGTCCGTGAGCGACTTCTAGTTTGATTCTGCTTCTTTCGACATTTTCCGCCTTTCCGGAAATGACTTGAACAATCTTTTTCCGACCACTTTCCGCGTTCGACAGGACCCTGCCCCCCATGGGAGCGGCAGCGCTGGCGTACATGCTACAAAGCCAGTGGAGACCGTGCACCAGGCAAGCAAGGTTTTTCCTTGTCGTTTCAACCAGAACGGTTTCTCATTTCTGGTTTTCATTTAGACGCTTGCCACTGGCGGTGAGTCAGCTACCAGTTACCAGTGTAACAACCAAATGATGCAGAAGCTTCTACGAGAGGGGAAGGTAGTTTCTTTCCGGTCTTATATAGTCGTTTCCTTGTTATTTATTGTTCTTGTATGTTGGGCTTTTTCGTGTGCTCAGGATAGCCCTCTCGGCAAAGTCTTGCAGAGTGTGATGGACACTGAAAAGAGTGACCATCCAAATCCACAGCTCCAAGAACACCTTAGTCAGGCACTGATGCTCACATTTGGGTGTGCCATAAAGAATATTCAACATGTGTTTGTGCGAAACTTAGGACAACTGTAGTTAAGATATCTAGCTTTGGATAGATTAGATAGAGGGAAACAACATATGCCAAGATGTCAAGTTCCATAGACACCATTCACACCAATGGAATTGACTGGCAGGAAACAGCAGACGATTCCTTTGGCTTCTTCAAAGGTGGCAAGGGCAAGGGTGCATTGCCAGTGGGCAAGGGTGACGCGCCACATTTTCCAAAAGAACACTTGCAGGCGAGACAGTACGGAAAAATGTCAGCAGTCATTGAAGCACTCGCGCAATGGTCCGTCACTTCTGGTTGTATTGGCAGGATGGCCATGACAACGCTTTCCACAACATGTTCAAAGGTGGCACAGGCTTCAAAGGTGGCAAAGGTGTCAACGCAGACGAGTTCCTCCAGGACGTTCGGGAGATAAAGCAAAAGACCAAAGGCTGCACAATGTGCAATTGGTGGGTCTGAATGAGGAATATCCATTTTCTGGGTCAACCAGTGCTGGGAGTGATTGGCTAATGAGCAACCGAGAAGCAGATTTGAAAGGCAAGTCCCATCACACAACGTGGTACCGTGGTGTAGCAACTCTTGCGGCAGCTACGTTCATTAGAATCTGTAGTTTCCAACAGCAGAAGGCAGTAGGGTTTCCATGCGGGAGAGGTGTGCAGTTTGCCTCCGGCATCCTACAACTAACCTGCGAAACCATCAAGCCAGCGATCATGTAGGAAAACAATCTGGAGCAAAGTTGAAACTGGCTGTGCAGTCAGTTTGCCTAACTTCCTCTGTTGAGCAGATTTTGCGTGGGCTAAACTCCATTGCCGGCGCGCTGCTCGGCAAGGGTTTGGCAGAGTACCTTTTCCCCGACAGAATGTAAATAGTGTCCCGGCTTGGCTCCTTTGTACCCTAGTCCACGCGGAAAAGCAGCATTGCCCCAAGCTGAGTCAATTCCGCAGAGCAGTTGGCCCGGTCTTTCCGTATGATTGCGGTGAGGAGCTTGCGATTTCACCTACACGGGCGATTGTCCAAGCGAAACCCGGGTTCCAGCAAAATGTCCGATCGCGGCACTCAACAGCGACCAGGGTTTAACAAGGAATTCCGATCACAGCTTCCAAGGCGGAATTCTGGGTGCAGCACCTAGCGCCGATCACGTCACCTAACAGCACCCTGGGTTGCAAGTTTCAAGCGATCCGGCCCGGCGGGTGCGTTCTCACTATTTTTGCGAAGCACTCTTTCTACGCACAAACATGATGTTTTATGCAGGAAGTTTCTGCAATGGTGACAGCTGTTGCACTTGCGGTGTGCTTTGTGCCTCTGTTGCAAAACATTCTTTCTACGCAGCGCGGCAGTGCAGAACATGTTTCACGGGCAACACTGCAACAACTAGCAACACGCTTCTGTGTACTGATGTGCTTTCGTCTCCACCCGAACCACTCCTGCTGTGCAGCAAGAAGAACTATGAGCAACAACAATGCAACAGGCACTTGTGCACACTTGGCAACACGCCGTTGAATAGCCGCTATTGCACTGGCAATAACATGTTTGCGGTTCTGTGGCGCTTTTCGTTTGGTTCCTCTCTTTGATCTTGCCTTCATTCTTGCTCCCCAGCTCCTGTTCATCAGCTTGTTTTGGGATTGGACAGATGGATTTGGATTCGATTTGGGAGCTGGCGAGCACAGAATCCCACCGTTGGAGTTTTTGAATATTACCAGTCACTTGAGTGAGTGCCTGCTGTTGGGTTGCAAAGCTGAGTTATATAATTGCAACATGATAATCAACTCGACACACGGTTGCACAGCTTGTTGAGCAGTGCCTCCGACCAACAATTCAAGGGAGGCAAAGGTGCTATGAGCTCCAGCCAGGCCGTGTGCACTTGCACCAAATAATATAGGATAATAGGGTAAAGGATAAACATATATGTATATGCACATAGACATACATACGCCGAAAAATGTAGTAAACACGAATGACTGGCTTGTGCTGCCTCTAGGGTTCATTGAGCTTGTTTCATGCATCACATGCTTTCTGTTTAGCTCTTTGCAAGCAGGAAGACGCAGACGGCGGCCTCTTCAAAGGTGGCAAGGGTCCCTTGCCAGTTGGCAAAGGGGACACTCCGCAGTTTCCAGAAGACAACTCGCAGGCGAGTATGATTGAGAAAAGACGTCAGCAGTCATTGAAGCACAAGTGCACCGGT